TGAGCTATGCCTGGTGTCTGTCTTGTATAATTAATTTCTTCTGGGTCTGTTCTGTTTTGGTACTGGGAATTGAACTCAAGACCTTGCACTTGCCGGGCAGGTGCTTGTGCAGCTGGCTATATCCTCAGTCCTCATTACCTGCTTCTCTTCCTCCATGGCTGTTAGCCCTGTGCTGTGGGCTGGGCTCCAGCAGGCCTTTTCTCCTGGGTTGGCCTCTGTGTAATCCAGATTCTGGGCATTCAGAGGCGATGATGTCATCCGATGTTTCCCAGCAGAGCTGTATATGGTGTTGATAGCTCCCTAGGACCTGTCCTGAGGAGGAGTAGGACTGGTCTGGCCAGGAAAGGCACCACAGCAATTCTGCAGCCAAGTGAGATGGGTGTCCACAGACCCACCTCTGGAGTAGGGTTACAGTCCCCTTGAAGCATGTCGGATAGTGGAGGGGCGTTGCCTGAAGGCAGGGTCTCAGAATGCAGGTGAGCAAGTCCATGCCTGTCATATAGCCAGGTGGTGTGTTGGCCCTGGACTGTTCTTCCCTAGGGCCCTCTGGGACGTGTGCTTGGGCTCTCTCTATGTGGCAAATGGAAACCGGAGGTCCCCTGTGCACTTGGGGCTGGTCCCGTACTCTGAGGGGGCTCCTTTCCCTCCTATTTCATCCTGCCTCCTACATTTTCTCGAGAGCTGTCTGCTGAGATTAGTTCTGGGCTTCTAACCACTGCCTGGCACCATCAGGTTGGAGTGTGAACTGCTGCTACCTCCTCGCAGTACCTGGTGTGCGGCCTCAGCCTGCTCTTTGGCCTGAGCACCACAGCTGTTTCCAGTTCTTGTCTCCTTGGCTGCTCCTGAGCGCATACACTCCCCAGAAAATGCATCCTGCAGAGCAAGGTCAGGTTGGCACTCAGAGTGAAGCCTGCAGAGTTGCCCCTTGTACATAAGCAGGCATTTTTCTTCCTGTCTGTACCTGGAGGTACACAAGGACCTGAATTCCGTCCCTGGTACTGCGTGCCGTGCTGGGCCCACCCCAGGCCTGCTGAGCCAGCCACCGAAACCAGGCATTGTTGTGCACGCCTGTAATCCCGGCACTGGGGAAGCTGAAACAGGTGGATCACTGCGAGTCCGAGCTGCGTAGTGAGACCCTGTACCAAATACATAAATTAGAAAAAAAAAATCTTTCTAGTTTTGAGAACATGTCACAGGTACCTGGCACAGAAGTGAGGGACACAGTGAAAAAGGATCTCCTGCCCAGCCCCAGTTGCCTCTGCCCTGGACCAGGGCCATGTCGTGGGCATTCTCCTGCAGCACTTCCACATTCCTCCTGTGTATACACAAGCACACATTCTTCCCCTGGATGTTGCCCTTAACAGGAATAGTTGTGTACAAAACAGAGGGTTTTGTACTTTATTTTTCACATGGTAACATCGTGAAGACAATTCCTTACCAGCAGGCACAGAGCTTCCCTGCTTTTCTGCTGCTTCGTGCTATTTCTTTGATGGCTTGCGGTTTGTTAGTGGTGGTGCCTCATGGGGACTAGTAGTCTGCTGCCAGTCTTTGCAGCCACAGACACCTTGGCGGCTGGAGCGTTTTGCACAGCAGAGCGTGCCTGGTGTGGTGAGGTGGGGTGGAGGAGTTGGGGTTTCCAAGAGGGACAGCTGACCTCTTGACAGCCAGCCTCCAGTTTCTCCCCCCGCCACCCACGTCCATTCCTTCTCCCTCTTCCTTTCTGGTTTTGTGATTTTCTTTCTGAATTTCTTGGCCGAGGCAGGATTTCAGAGCTTGCTCCTTGGGCCTCCACAGCTGCCAGAGCCCTTGCCTTGCAGCAGCTCCCAGTGCTCAAGCAGGCCCCGTGGGTGATCGTGGGTTGCTCTTGGTGTTTTCTTCTATATATTTAGGACGGGGTCCACTGGTCTCACTATGTAGATCAGACTCATAGTGGTCCTCCTGTTTTCAGCCGCCCAAGCGCTAGGATTACAGGCCCTTGCCACCATGCCCAGTCTCAGTCACTGTTTCAGCACACCCCGAGGGCAGGGCTAGCACTGCACACCGGGGATCGAACCCCAGCCGCTGTGCTTTGCCTAAGCAGGTGCTTTAGTCCGCTGAGCTCTCCGGCCAGCCCTGCTAATATGTGGGATGCTGTTAGTGTTTTCTTTTCTTTTTCTGTGTTTGATTGTGTGTTGCTGAGAGGAGGTGGTGCTGGGTCCAGGATTCCATTATTGGACTGGCATCTCAGGGTGCCCTAGGGTTGGAGACTGCCTACCACCCAGTTACATGGCACCTGGCCCTCAACGCAGGTTGGGCTGGTCCAGCCCTGGGCCAGATTCTGGGTCTCCTCAGCCTCCTGAACCTTGGGCTGCTCCTCTGAGTGATGGTGTCAGCGGTGCCTCGCCGTCATGGGACTGTCAGAGGTGTTGGAGGGCAGCGAGGGTGTCGGGTGTCTGTGGCCTGATGCGGATGCACAGGAGAGCCAGGCACCCCCTTTTCTGCCAGAGTCGCAGTAACCTTGTACCCCCAGCCCCAACCTGGAAGAGCTGCAGGGCTCCTGGGAGCTCAGTCCCCTAAGATTTGAGCCAACCTGTTCTCTAGATGACTTCTTAGGTTGTTGTTGACTTTTTAATTTATGTGTTCCATCTGTTGGAAGTTAGAGGCCTGTTTTGGTTGCCGTTTTCTTTTAAAGGACTGGATAATGTAAATATGGACTGATTGGAAGTCACTGTAGTTGAGATGAGGGCTGAGGGCCGTGTGCTTATATAACCTGGATGTGGGCAGGACTCACTAGGGGAAAACTAAGATTTTGGGAAGCCCTGGGGAGACTCCCCACCCCTGGTGGCACGGGTCACATGTAGCCTTCACTGCACCAGACTCTCCTATCCTGTGGGCCACATTCTTGTTTGGGGTGAAGATTTTCACCTTGGAACCAGGGCAAGGAATCAGAGGCACTTGCTGGGTGGCCTGGGGTTGGTCCCGTTATTGTCACTGATGTTCACTTCAGTTTTCTCCTCTCTCCAGTGGGACCAGGGTGGCCTGGGCATGGGATGAGCTTCTGAGGTATCTAAGGTCTCAGCGTGGCTGTTCTTGATGAGGCTGTCCTCTCATAGGCACTGGTGGCCTAGGGTTGTGCCACTGTGTATCTAGCCTGTCCCTCATGAAATCATGGGTCTGAATGAATGTTGGCCACCATTCCTTAAGGGACTGAGGGGAGAGGATGACAGGAGGTTTTTTTTTTTTTTGTGGTGCTGGGGATCAAACTTAGGATCTCGTGCTTACTAGGCAGGCACTGAAGCCACTGAGCTATCTTCCCAGCTCATACATGATGCCTTTGAAAGCCTGGCCCATAGTGGTTCTCACAGTCTGTTGAACTATCTGGAGTTCCCATAGTGGACCTGGTCAGCTCTCGGGGCCTTGGTTCTCCTGTCTCCTGTGGTGAGTCCTTTGTGCAGTTACACTGAGTGCCTGGATATAGGAAATGGTAGGCAGCAGCTCAGCCTGAAGGGTGAGGTGTGGTACCTGCTCAGGCTGCCTAGAGGTTTCCTTTGTGCCTGTCTCCTCTCAGAGTCCACAAGCCCCTCAGGGTCCCAGATTGCCTGGCACATTTGCTGTACCTTCAGTTTGCTAAGCCAGGCCAGGCCAGGCCAGATCTTTCTTTCTGTGGACTTGCAGTGACCAGCTCTGGCTTGTGAGTGTCTGTGTGCTGGGTGGGCACATAGTTCTGAGTTTGGCATAGGTCCTGCTCCAAGGAGCTGGTCCCACCCTTCTCTGAATGTCTGCCAGAGGTCTTTCTTCTCAACAAAATGTGCACAGCATAGCCAGACATGGTGACATGTGTCTATAATCCTATTACTCAAAGAGGCTGAGGCAATAGAATCTCAAGTTTGAACACAGCCTGGGTAATTTAGTGACTTAGTGGGATCCTGTCTCAGAATTAAAAAACAGAAAAGGACTGGAATATAATTCAGTGTGAAGACTCTGGGTTCAAACCCCAGTATGGCAGGCAGGTAGGCAGGCAGGCAGACACTCACACACATGCATGCACACACGCACGCGCACACACACTGGTGTGCACATACACTTCACTGTCTGTCTCAGTCTTCACCCCAGCACGCTTCCTGGGTGGTGACAGTCTACTCTGGAACAAAGGGAGTGGGAGCCGGGAGCCAGGAGCCAGAGTGTTCCAGGAGAGTTGTGTGGGGGTGGGGTGGGGGGTGTGGTGCGGGGTGGGGCGGGGGAAGGTGCTGTGGGCCAGGGCAGGCTTCCTGGGAGAGCCTGCCAGAGCCTTGTCCTAAGGGCTGGAGTATGAGTGAGACATCTGTGAGTGTTGGCCCACTCAGAGTTGGGCCCAGCTGAAGCTTGTGGTAGGAAATGCAGGCGGGGAAATGAAGGCCAGCTGGAGCCTGTGTGAGCCCTGGGCTGATGCACACCCAGACCCAAGCCCCAGGGGGGAGATAGGTGGAGGATTCGGGGATCAGACCAGTCTCAGACTATAGGTGAACCAGGGGCTAAGGGCTGGGCAGGGAGTCAGTGGAGACCAAAAGTGGCCAGGATGGAGAACTGGCTGGTGCAGGAAGGGCACAAGCCATGGCTTCCTGCAGGTGACAGCAAATGGGCCATGTTGTGCAGCTAAGGTGGTCAGATGTGGGGAGCCACAGGCAGCGGTTGAGCTGAGCATGGCTTTGGCGCTGCATCTGATGGTGGGGAGAGTGTTGCGAATTTGGGGCCCGCTGGGAAGGCCTGTCTGGGTCCCAAGGAGACGGCTGCTGTCCATGTTGCAGGACTGAAGCCTGTCCTTTGGGAGCCACCCTCTTAAAACTACAGGTGTTTGTGATGGAGCCTGGGAGCTTGGAAACGTGGTTCTTGAAGACAAGGCCACTGTGGGGGCGGTGTGAGAACCCAAGTCCTAGTCCCTTCACAGCTTCCTGCCCTGTTCTGTTTCAGCCCTAGTGAACATTTTGGAAAGCATGCTTCCTGACTGCTGGAGTAACACTTGTTTTCTTTGTTTTTCTCTACAGGAAACGAGGCATAGAGGTTGTGCAGGTGAGTACAGACTATGTTTCAACTATTTTCCAAGTAGAGGGGCCCCCAGAACCAGCTTCCCGTGTCCTTGAGCATCTGGGTGCTTGACCCTTCCTCTGCATGTATTTGGTTTGTGACTTCCTCTGAGGAGCTGACGCAGTTTCTGTCCCAGGCTGGGCACAGACTCAGGCTGCTGGCTGCTCAGATGTGGAGATTTATGGTGGTTTTATTAGAGAAGGAGGCTGGAGGGGATTAGTTTGGGAGTGGAGAGGGCATGGTAGTGCATGGGCTTGGGTAGCGAGGGTGAAGGGCCAGTGGACACTCAAAGGTTTCCTGTCATTGTGTCCCCTGGACGCACTTGGGCTGGGCTCATTGGCTGGTGAAGGAAGATGGGTAGATGGAGGGAGGGAGAAGAAATGGCACATGATAAAGGAAGGAAGGATGGGTGGATGGAGGAGTACAAAAGAATGGCTGGAAGGAGAGGGAAGGATGGGTAGATAGATGGAGAGATAGGGAAGGATGGATGGAGGAAAAGGGAAGGTTGGATGGATGGGATGGAGGGAAGGAGGAAGGGAGATGGAAGAATGGATGGAGGAGGATGCATGGATAAGGGGCAAGGATGGATGGAGGAAGAAAGGAGGGGATAGCTGGGGGAAGGGGGAAGCTTGGAAGGAAGGAAGGAAGGGTAAAGAACCCTCTCAGGGCATGAGGCGGGCCCCTGCCCCTGAATTAGCTATCGAGATGAGCATCCACCTCAGGATTGCTAGAGGTTTGGTCTCTCAGACTGGAGCCCGGAAGAAGGGGCCTGGGAGCCTTCTGCCGGCACATTTGCCTCTGTGGTTCTGACTGGTAAAAGATGAGAATGATTTTCTCCATGTAAACACAGAAATACATTGAGGGGTGTGTATACCAAGGGGTATGCACCCAGGGCAGGCTGTGACGTGTCCACCAACACTAGCCTGGCACCTTATGGGCCTGTAGCGAGTCCCCTGGGCTGTCGCCTCCACTGTCCCCTTCCGAATGCCTCTGCCTGGTGGTTTCCCGAAAACCTGCTGTGGTGCTCTGAGCCTCCTTTGCGCCTGAGACCAGAGTGGGGTGGGGCTGTACCTCTGTCCAGTGGTCTGGGAGGTGTTGCTGGACTCTGCCATATGGCCTCCACTGGAGATCTGAGGGTTGAACTTGTCGCTGGGGGTTGAGGTTTCTTTTGGGGTGGGGACATTTCTGGAAGCCTTTCATCACCTGTTTTTGTTCCCACTCATCTTGGCGCTGTAGAGTTTCGTGACCTGCGCTGACCTTTTCTGTGGGCCATGATTTCTTTGTCCATCCCCTGGCGACAGTTGGGGTTGAACCATGGCTAAAAAGGTGCTTGCAGGGCATCCCTGGGCAGGTGGGTCATGGCTGTCGGGGGGATTCTGAGACTGAATGAGGATCAGGGCTGCCAAGGGCCCAGGGGGTGCAGGTTCATTGCAGGGTTGGAGATCTCAGGCCATTTCCACTACAGGATGCTGGGGCTTCAGCCCACTTGATGGTTGCCTTGGAAACCCCCATTTTCTGCAGAAGCCCCTTACCCACCAGCATACCCTCAGCTGGGAGTGGGTGCTCTCTGTGTGTGGGAAGATCCCAGCTTTCCTGCAGTTGGCTGCAGCCACTAGGGAGGGTCTCCAGGAATTGCTCCTGGGATTTGTGTCTGAGGAAGTGAGTTCCTTTGCGCACAGCCAACACCTGCAAGACTGGGAAGAGAAGACATCCTTCCCTCAGACTGATTCCAAGCTGCAATGGAGCAGGCTGTCACCCTGCCCCCACTCTGAGGGTGCTGGAGGCAGCCAGGGGGTTCACAGTTTGGTTCACCCTGCTTCTAAGAGAAGTCTTTTTTTTTTTTTCTTTGCGGTACCAGGGATGGAACTGAGGACCTTGCACTTGCAAGGCAGGTGCTTATGCTGCTGAGCTATCTCCTTGGCCCTTAGCTTCTAAGAGAGATGGAGACCAACCTTTCGTGCACTCAGCTGGGTGGAGTAGGGGACAGGAGTTCTTGGTTTAGAGCGTGCTAGGTAGGACTCTGAAGTCTTTCAAGATGTGTCTGCTGTTCATTTTGATGACTTGGGGGTATAATTGGTGGCTTGAGGACCAGGTTGGTGCCAGGTGATGCTTCTACTCCAGCGCCTAAAAATACAGCCCATCGCGCTGCGTTCCACGCACCTCCTCCTGGCTGTCTTTGAAGCACTTTTACATTTAAGACATGGAGGAAGGCTTTTTGTGAAAATTGGAAGCCAAACCACTCAGTTGGCTGCTTTTCCAAAATCAGCCAAGCTTCTGTGTGCTGGATCCTGGGCTGTGGCCCCTGGAAGCTGTGGGTAGGTGCTTTGTGAGTCCTGGGGTTAAGATGTAAATGAGGGTGCTGGTGAGGGGAGCTGACCCCGTACCTCTTCCCCCAGGAATGTTGGGGGAGGAGGGTCTCTCCTGAAGATGAGGAAGAGGCTCAGGATGATATGACCAGGCCGGCTGGGCGGTGGTAGAGCTGAGACTTGAGTGTGGGTCATTTGGCCTGCCCGCCTGCCCGCCTGCCCGCCTGCCCACCTGCCCACCCGCTGTGTGGATCTCCACTGCACAGGGGCAGGCACTCTGTCTGCTGTGTGCGTCCCTGCCTAGATTGCTGGCCTTCAGCTACTACCTGAAGGATGTTGTGGCCTGCGCTGAGGCCCCCAGGCTGGGAAAGCCTGGCAAGATCTCGTGGTGTTGGTCCAGGCCATGGAGTCCTTTTTATTCCTGCTATACAATGGCAGCAGTCCCAGTGTTAACATTTATGGGGACTGTTGAGGAGGAGCATTTGTGTATCCCCTTTCCAGGTGGATGCAGGAGCTTGTAAGCTCTCTCTGTGTGGACAGTGTGCACAGTTGTGAGAAAGGTCCCTGCTGTGTGATGTTGTGCCAGCTAATGCCTGAACGGTTTGCACATCCGTCCACCCACCTGTAGAATGGGCATAAGCACAGCGCCCATTCCCCGAGGGTCGTTGTGAGGACTGAGTTAACTCAGGTAATGGAGTTGGCCCAGGCCTGGTGCACGGAGGCTGGTGACCTGCAGAACCCTACTCTGTCGCTGTCCACAGGACGCCTGAGCCTCTGCGGGGGAGCGTAGGCCACGAGGCTCCAGGTGCTAGGGAAGGTCTCTGGTCTCAGTAATCCTGAGTCAGGGCACTGCTTCTTCTTCTGTGCTTGCAACAAAACAAAGATGACCTGATCAGGTTGTCAATTGATGTCGCATTAAAAGTGATTTTTTGAGGGCTGCAGTGTAGTTTGGTAGTGTAGCATTTGCCTAGTGCGCGCAAAGCCTAGGCGATCCCAGCATGATGGAAGAGGAAAAGAAGTCTTTGAAAAGAGATTACCGTAATTCCAAAGAAATCCAAAGAATTTGCTATGGCAAATGTTTTCCCATTTCGTCTTTTTTTCTTTTTTAAAGTAGGTGGTTTTAACACTTATCTGTAGACTCACAAATGAAGATAGAATTAATTGGTAATGCTTGTCTTAGTCTAGAAATAGGTAAATATTCATGTATAGATACATGAAATAACTTTCAAGAAAGTCCCATTCTTTAGAGTTGTATTTCTAATAAAGTTTAATTTTTAATGTTGATATTGTGTACACTTTTGGGCATTTCTGTCTTGCTGTTCATCTATGCACTAAAAGAGTAACTATACTAATAATTCAGTTCAGAAGAGAATTTTGACTTTATTATTATTATTATTATTATTATTATCATCATCATTTGGCAGGACCAGGGATTGAACTCAGGCCCTTGCACTTGCCAGACAAGCACTTATTCTACTGAGCTGTCTCCCCAGCCCCAAATTTTGACCTTAAAGAGCTTCAGGTCATAGGAAAAAAATTGAAATAGGAACATTTTTATATCTGTATCTATCTATATCTATTTATCCATGTTTGACCCAATACTATAATAAAAGAATCAATAAAAGGCTTGATTCTTCATGAAGTGCAGAGACTGGGCGTGGTAATCCCAGCTCTTGGGAGGCTGTAAACAGGCAGATCACTACAAGTCTGATCTAGTAGTGAGACACTGAACACCCTGTAGACCCTGCCCTAAAAAAAAAGGCCATGAAATGCACTGCAATAGTATAAACATGTCTGAAGAAAGTGGATTGGAAATTAGAATCCAAAGAAGAAAAGGAACATTGTTAGATTTCTAGCTGTTAAAGAAGAGCTTTGGTTATGTGACTTTAGAATGAATGGTGGTGGATCTCACATCACTATGGTATTTAGATTTCACAGGATGCATTTAAAAGGGAAATAGTAACAGTTTTATTTTAAAATGTTAATATTTATAGTATGTTGGAAATTACATCCTCTGCAAGTATTTAAACTTATGATGAGAAATTTTAGATGTTAACTAAAAAATGTGCAAATAGATGCACTACTTCAAGCATTTACTTCGGGGGGTGGCTTTGAAGGCCATTTGCTTCTCGCAAGCAGGTACCACTTCATAGAGGGATGCAGTGGGCCTGGCTCTCTGGGCACCTGGGGCTGGGCCAGGCTGTGCATCCCTGAGACCCAGAGAAGCCCACTGGGGTTTCCTCAGCAATGACTTGCTGCAGGCAGGTGGTCCTCCCTTCACCTGGCTGGTTGGGCCACCAGTGATGGTGGGGATATGATGTGTGGCACCCACTCTGGAGGGAGAGGCATGGGTAAGCCTGACCTGGGTGCTCAGGAGCCGGCGAAGCCCGCTCTGTGTGTGGTGCTGGGGCCTGGGCTGCTGGACAAGGCGAGAGTGTAGCAAGGATTGTGGGATAAGATGTCCCTCACCCTGTGTCCTGAGGATATCCTGTGTCCCCACTGTGCTGTTCACCTCAGTTTCCTCCTCTGTACTGTTGTAATGAGGCTGCTGCACCCACAGGCCCCGTGACACCACCATTCAGGTGTTAACATTGGCCTCACTCAGTCATTGAGGTGTGAGCCCTTAGAGCTGGGCCACAAGCCTGGGTGACCCTGCCTTCTGTGGCATTCTGCTGTAGG